TCCTGCACTGCCATTCAGCAGAGGTGAGTTTGCCATCCTTGCCCAGAAGGTGGGCAATATTGGACTTGGACAGGTCAGACCTGGGCAGATCCTTCTGTTTGCCCTTGCCTTTGGCATTGGACTTCAGAGCAGAAGCAGAGGACAATGATTTAGACTTGTTGTTGGAGCTAGAAGACTGCGACTTGTTGGTGGTGGGCTTGGTGGTGTGCAAGGTCCCTGCTTTATGCTCCCAGTGGTGCACATCAATGGTCTGAGCAAGTTTGTGGAGTTGTGTGAGGGTAGAAGGTTTTCCTATGTGAGTGATCTCATCCTTGATGCAGTCTGGAAGTCTGCTATAAAAGTGGTGGCAGAGTGCACCAACACCATAATCTTTGACCTGTGAAGCCCAGTGATTGAACTCTACAACATATTTGGTAATTCAAGAACTGTCTTTCATAGTGAGGTTTTCAAGTTGTTGGATGGCATCTGCTATGGCATCATGTAGACCAAAATCAGTTGTGAGCTCTTGTAAGAACTCATGATAGTCATCCATCCAGAGCAGGCAGTCATAATTGTCAGGGTCTAGTAGGTCTGGCTTGAACCAAGCCAGAGCCACACCCTTAAGATAAGACTGAGCAAAGGTAACCTTCACTCTGTCAGAGTGGAATGCATGGGGGCAGTCTTGGAAGTTCAGCTCACATTGTATGAGGAACTCGCAGAGTTTCTTAGGGTTGGAGCCATCGAAAGTGTCAGGCTCATGGACTTTGGTTTTCAGAGTGGAGTCCCCAGTGCACAAACCAGACCATGCAAGTGCATGGACAGCCCTAGCAAGAGCTATGAGGGGATCCTCTGGTGGCTCAGCCAGGTCTTCAGGGATATCCCTGTCACCACTGCCCCCACTGTCAGGATCACCATCAGGGTCATCAGGGTTGGGTCCATCATCTCAGTTACAAGGAGATGGAGTATGGAAAGTGGTTGGATGGAGGTTGGAGTGACCAGCTTGCAAAGCGCTTTCACCTTCAGTGCAAGAGCAGCATTGAGCAGAGAATGATTGGAACTGTTCAACAATGGAAGGGAGTCGATGTGGATTAGCTAGTGCAACAGCAAGGTTCTCAGCAACCTCTCTCTGGGATTGAGCTTGAGTTCTCATAATGGTGTAAGTTTTTTGGAAGACAGAAAATGAGATCATACAAGTGTGAGTACAAATATACTGTCAAGTCCAGGCCTACTCTGACCAACTCCAATGCTGGACAAGATCTGGGGAGAGGTTTGGAAGCAAGTCCGACAGAAAGAGCAGGACTCCAACTGGCAGAGTGTTGGCAAGAATGAAGTCTGCCAAAGGTAAGGGCAGAGCAAAGTGAGGGCATTGGGTTTAGCTCATGCACTACCCCCTTGCATGATCTCAGCCCTCGTATTTCAGAGAGGGAGTACAGATGGACAGTTGGAGGTAACTCCGACAGGCAGAAGACAGAGACAGAGGGAGTAGGAACTAAGTTGATATTTGTACTGAGGAATGGCAGAGTATGATACATGCTTTTATACTACTATGGAGGTACAGTAACCAGAATTGGAACTGACATATGGAGACCCAGAAATTTTCATGTAAAACTTCCTAGACAATGAATGAAGGGTAGACGGAGGACATACAAACAGGTAACATAGAACATCCAGAAAAGGAAACAGTCCAGGTGCTGGACCATGCGGTGTGCATGCTGTGGGGTACCTGACTGCGAGCTGTCAGGGAGGAGTCCAAAGGTAGTCACATGACCCCTCAGAGAACAGTCTGTTCAGTCTGGTAGGAGAGCAGTACAAGTCTGACAGCAGTTGGAGCAGAGATGACTTGTAAACATCAGGGGGCATGCAGAGTTGGTGTGGAGTGAGTGAATGACCAGTGGAAAGGGGTGCAGAGTGAGTGAGGACTTAGGATGAACACACAATCATGACAGTTGCTTTACAAAGACCAGGTTTACATCCCAGATGACTCTGCTCTGCACTGAACTATCATGTCCAACCACCATGATCACCCCTCTGCTTGACACCCCAGTGTCTTAAAAACCTGACAGCTTGTCTCCTCTGAGTTCTGGTGGCCTGGACTGGCCTCATTTGTCCAAAGGTATGTCAACAGCTGTGCTACTTGCCAGCAGAACAAGGTAAACACCCACCCAATGGCACCCCCCCTTACACCCATCCCCTCAACCTCCACCCACCCCTTCCAACAGATCTCTTGTGATCTGGTCACCAATTTCCCCCTTTCCAAATGGTTTGACTCTCTTTTGGTTGTGGTAGACCATGGGCTTACAAAGGGGGTAATTTTAACACCTACAAGAAAAACTGCCTCTGCTGCTGACATTGCAACACTCTTTTTCAAGAAAGTCTACTCCCATTTTGGGCTGTATGACAAAATCATATCCAATAGAGGCCCCCAGTTTGCCTCCACATTTGCTAAAGACCTTGCTTCCCTCCTGGGATACTCCCTTGCCCTCTCCATGGCATATCACCCTCAGACTGACAGAGAGATGGAACATGTAAATCAGGAGGTTGAAACATATCTCTGAATCTTCTGCCAGAATGATCCCACCTCATGGGTGGACAACCTTCCTATGGCAGAGTTTGCACATAATCACCAACCTCACTTCATCACCCATCAATCACTGTTCTACCTCATGTATGGGTATGAACTGAAACCCCTTCCATCTCTTATTGCAGAAACCCACCTTCCCACCACCAAATCCAGACTTGAAGAACTCCAAAAGGCTAGAGAAGAAGCCCTTGCAGCACATGACCTGGCCAGAAAAACTATGAAAGACCACTTGTCTTGACCCTTCTCCCCTTTCCAAAAAGGAGACAAGGTTTGGCTCAAGGCATGGAATTTGAAATGTTCTTATGAAAATAGAAAAATCACCCCCAAAACAAGAAGGACCTTTCATCATCTCTGAGGTCCTATCCCCAGTCACCTACTGCCTTGCAATTCCTGCATGGTGGAAGATTCATAATGTCTTTCACACCTCCCTCTTGTCACCCTATCATGAAAATGATGTCCACAGACTGAACTTCCCAGCTCCACCACCTGACCTGGTCAATGAGGAAGAAGAGTATGAAGTTGAGGCAATAGTCAGTCATAAAAGGTCCAGCCACAGACACACCTTTTTAATTAAGTGGAAAGGGTATCCTTCATCCAAAAACTCATGGCAAAAAGAAACACACCTAGAACATGCAGATGATATACTCTCCATGTATACAAAGTGCTTCCCTAAAGACTTTTCCCCTCAGAAACAACCCTCTCATTGCTCCACTCACACTGTCAGAAGGATCCTCACTGACATGCCTCCTCATCATTACACCTACCCCCATGAACCCTCTCGTTGTCACACCCCCTTTGCCTGCCACCAACAACAACCTGCTAGTGATCAAATGATTGCTTCTTACTGACTCTTCATTGCTGATCCTGCCGCCATTGGCACTGTCTATCATGAGGTTGATGAGAACTCTCCTCTCAACCTGGTGTACCATGCTACTATCCAAGCCCTTCAGCTTGAAGAGTTATCCTGATATGTCAATCAACAGAATCCTCTCTTGTCCCCTGCACACACCATCTTAAATGAAATAGCATACAAACAGGTTCCTTTTCTCCTTCGACTCTTTGATGTTCTTGGTGGGGCAGACCTCATCTACAACATATGTCAGTACCCTATGTTGGTCACTCCTCCCCCTCCTGGGTCTAGAAGACCCTCAACTGCAACCTCCCCTCCAGTTTCTTCCATGTCATCCTCTCCTCCAGCATTGTCATTGTCATCTTCCCACTCATCTTGCTCCCTTAGAAGAGCAGGTAGACCTCATGCCTGCTGCTTGTCAGGCCCTAATCCACAACCTTGTGAGTCCCATGACTCTCCCTCTGAAGTTGATCCTGAGACTGCCTTTGGTGTCTCCAGAGCAGAACTTGACTATACCTTAAATATTGTCAAGACCCTTGCACAGTTACCCCCATCACCTGTGCTAAATGCACTCACTAATGCTGATCATCCCCTTACCCCTTCTGATCCATGCTATTGCCAGGTGTGTTATGTCTGTCACTGTCTAGGGCATGTCTGCATCAACTGCAGACTCTATGAATGTCTGCTCTGTCACACAACTTGTCCTGGCCATACCCAGGCACAATGTCCTTCCTTACACCCTCACTGTCTGCTACAAGAAAGAATTGTTACTCCTGGGGTAGTGGATGATCAAACCCACATTGGAAGTGAGGATGATGACCTATATGACAACAACTTTGATTTTGATGACTCCACCATTAGCAACATGACTGGAGAACCTTATGGAGAGTAGTTGAAGTCAGGGACTTCAATGCTTAGAAAGGGGGTAATGTTACATTTCACCCCTGTTTTCCTCATTTGCTTTACATTTACTTCATGTTTGATCTGATGGACTATCTTTCCTTTTGAGTCATCTTCTCTCTGATCCAACAGCTCACTATTCCCACCACTAGCATTACTTGCTCATTGCATGCTTGGGACATGTATCACCATTGCTCAACCGATGGTGTAGTTATCTCATTACATGCAGATGCCTCATGGTCTGTCTCTTGTGTAGTATTTAGTCTGTCAGCTCAAGTCCTGGAAACCCAGACTTGAGCTGCTCAATCATATGCAGCATTCTCTCAGAACTTCACCCTCAGTGTCCCTAACCCAGACCACTCTTACTGGCATTGATTAAATCCTTTGTCATTTACAAAGGTTACTGCAGCTGTTGCTCAGTAGAAACCAATAGTCTGCATTTGAGCTCTCCCTATGTCTTGACTTCGGTCAAGCATAACACTGCAGCTGGTAAGCATCTTGATCATGAGGGTCATTCCTATATTCACCATTCAGGCCAGCTTTGTACTCCATGTTGGACATGGTGGCAAGCAATGCCTGGCTGGTGGGTGGTCAGATGAAGAAGTCACAACTGAGGAGGAAGATGATTGGGAGGATATGCATCAAGATAGATGTCCTCCAAACCTGAAGGCACCAAGGGACTGAAGCTGTCTAATTGTTGTCCACAGAAATGGTATCCACTACTGCAATGTGAGGTATTGTAGATGCCCTGGGGCAGAGGATTCACCCATACAGCTGATGCACACTGGAATGTTTCCTGCTACCACAAAGGCCCCAAGAAATGCCTTTACCTTCCAAGTACTTGATGACTTCATTTGGGACAATGTGGAATGCAGCACTTCAGCTATGAACTTCTACAGAAAACTGCAGTGGATCACCTCAAATGCCTTTCCTCATCTGGTTCTGGTGGGTCCTGTTTGTCAAGTTGTCTTGCCTCAAAGCAAGTCTTAGCTGGGTGATAGGATAGGTACAGGGAACTGCTGAGAGTTGCTAGGATGTGGCAGCTCCTGAAACTACTGAAATGGCAGGGATCCCACAAGGGTGCAGAAGATGCTGGCCCAGGAGGATTAGTGTTATTCTCTCTGGCATGTCCCCAACCCAGCATCAACATTCCTGAAGAAGGCATGGATTATTCACAGTGAGTGATCACATCAATGCAGATAGCAATTTATATACTGTTTAATCCAGTTGGACTCTGTCAAGAAGCTTGGTCATGGATGGGAATTTCAAGGCAGAGCACATGCATCCAAAGGACAGTGGCAGTGAAGCATGGTTGATGGATGGGAAGGGCTATATGGTAGCCTCTCAGCCATACAAGGAATATTTGAGTGGCACTAAAAATGTGGTTGAGGTCAGTGATGTCTAGGAAAGTATTACCCAATGGACTGATCACAATACAAGATCTCTGATTGTAGCAATCATTGTGTGGTTAATCATGCAAATGCCAACTGGCAACAGCTCACATCGACTGGAATAGGGGGATATGCCTGCATGCAGCATGGCTGCTTTGTGCTGCATTCCATGGTCAACTTCCAAAAGGGAAAACAGTATGAATGCCTTCTAACATCCTAAGCCAATATTGACATCCACATTGGGGCAGGTTAACATGGACTATGCACTTGCTCATGCTGTGTGGCATGGAACAGTCCACAGCCAGCAGGTGATACATTTCTATGATATTAACTGCCAGTATAGCAAAGGGCTAGCATGACAGGTACAAGCTAACCCCTATATATTGTTGCCTGATGGCATCCAGATCTACCTTGGCATTGGTTGTGGCATGTTCATGGCCACTGCACAGAATGCTTTTCATGCTATGTGCCAAATTTCATTGTTGGTGCTGGCTGAGTGGATGGGGAGATCATGGAAACCTTGTGGTCCTCCCTGAATATCATTTCCCCATCTGCTAGAGGCATGGCTACTCCCCATCAGCAGGAGGTACTTGACTTTCAAATGAATGATAGTAATTTCCTTAAAATGGTCAGAATGCATATGTCTATTCCCCTTGTAGCAGACACTTTTGCATTGCTAACAGGCTATAGTATTGGCATTGAAGCAGAAACTCAAGGTTGCTGAGGAGTCTTATTCCATGGCTGCCAGGAGGTTTGCTGATTTGAATGGTAATGTGCCACCAGCAATCAGCCAATCATGGGCAGAAGAGGTGGAAGTGACATTACAAAACAGATTGTCAAGGCCCCAGGCCATGGATATATAAGAGGTCCAGCTCCAAAAAGGTAGGTATTTGACATTATCCTGCACAGAATTTGTACTGAGCTGTAATGAAGCTCCCTCTGCAAAGGCCATTGAGATAGATTTGCTCTCCATCCCCCAGCCAGGACAGTTGGAGGGTATGGCAACCTGGATTGCCAAGGCATTGAAGATAGAAGAAGCACAAATCCAACTTTCAGTGGCATCCTGGCACATCACCAGCCACACAACAGAAGCTCAAATTCTTACCATCACATATTGCCAAGATTGGCTTCAGTCACATATCCACAGCATTTTAGACACTGCTGAAAGACTGTTTGGAGACAGATTTGATGATGCCAAGCTGTTCCATTCATCTCAGCCATGGAAGGTGGGAAATATTCAATTACCACTGCCATCCAATGTTGGCATGGATCATTTTGACCAAGCTGGCCTGGGATATGTGACAGGAATGGAGCTGCAACTGAGGCAAGGACAGGCCAATGATTGTCTTCATGAACTGCAGCTTGTGCTTGCAGAGAAGGCAGTCATCTTTCAAACAGATATTTTCCATGGAAGTAATTACTGAATGACCACATGTGCCTGGGGAAGGGTGGCCAATGCTGATGCAGCCATGAAACAATATGCCACTGTATACCACTGGTGCCACATCCAGATTGGCAGGTTAGGTGCCAGGCCCAATATCCTTGAGTGATACAAAGAGTTGAATGATTCCAACCTTGCCATCAGCACAGCAGTATCAGACCAAAATGCCAGAGGTCACAGAGATGATATGCTCCCTTGGATCTGGAGCTTGGATGTACCAAGAGACACTGCCACTGATGATTGGATGTTGGAATGTGAGAGGAGCAGCCACATTGCAGCAGCATCTGAGATGTACTAATCATTTTCTCTAGTTTATAGGGTGAATTGGCTCAGGATGAGAGCCCTGCATGATAGGTTGCAGGAAGAGGTCCAGTTATTGAAATGTGAGCAGGAGTGGACTAGAAACTTTTTTGAAAGCAAGGTAAAATTTTGGACTGGCCAAAAGACTGCAGCATTGGCAGAGGAGAAGGCTGGGCAGGCATGTTATGCTGCAAGGAAATGCCAAATGTATGGCAGATTAGCATGTCTTCTGTAATTGCCCATTTCAATGTAGAGACCAGTACTCATCAACACCCACATAATGGTTGAGATCTGCCAAATATCACCCTGACATAACACCAGTATTGCATGTCTGAAATGGGGCACTGTATAAGAACTGGCAGATCATGCTACATGGATGCCAATGTTATTGATCTGCACAATCCTTGACCCAAGTCACCTGCTGGGCAGGTATTCATAGCCACAACATCAGTGGCATGCCTTGACCCAATGCCATGGGAAAGTTGGCTACTGCTTATATACAGTGTCTACACCCATGCCTCATGCTGGTACATCATGTCATCAAATTTTACCATGGCTGAGCTCTCCATGACCATGCAATACATGGGTAAGCAATTTCATCACCTTGTAGCAGCAATGCAAATGCCAGATTGGTCTAAATACCAGCAGCCTACTTGGTATCAATATTTGCTGGCAGAAGTGGTAAGCCATTGTCCCTGTAGTGGTGCAATCATTGAAATTGGTATAGGGTACAATGGAGCATCTGATGTGTGCAGCATCTCACCATCCCATCACCATGATCATGCCACTTACAGCCAACCAGCTGTTGACCTATCTGAATGATTGTGAACAGAGTCCCCATGACATCATAGCATTCATCAAAACTTTGAATCCCCAGGTTACAAGGATTAAGGAGTGCTACATTAAACTCATAACTGCAATGGCCCATGACTGGTGGCAAGTGGACTGTGGCTGAGTGGAATTGGGATATGAGAGGAGACCACTCTGTGAAGTAATTGCCAAAGTGGCAGAATTCTTTACAGGGGTAGCTGTACATGGTGGCAATACTTTGTTGGCTTGCCACTGACCTGTTGAGTCAGAATGGTGGCATTTCCCTACCACTTTTGATCAATTCCCACCCATCACCCACTGCAGAATAAGCTGCACTGCATGCCATGTGCACCAAAGGCTTGAAGGATATCGATCAGGAGCTCTCATATCTTTCCAAGCTAATCTTGCAGTCACAGGAGAGGATGACATCTTGGAAGCCATAACCAGATCAAAACTTGCATTAGAGGTTGCATGGGTGGAGTCAGTGTCTAAGGTGTGGGAATGAGCATACTCCATTTGTAGACCATATGCACACTCTGTCATTGGTTTTGTTTGCACCAGTAATGGCATGGGATCAGTACCATCAGTAGCAGTCTATTATACACAGCCCAATGCCAATCCTATGACCACCTCTAGTAGGGGTCTGGGGTGGAAACATGGCATGGCAGATCTACCACCCTTTCCCACAGGTGTCCATCCATTGCTGCCTCCAGTAACATAGGCCAGTCATTAATCAAGACCTACATGTTTCCAGTGGTGCCAGGAATTGTTAAGACCTCCATTCAGAATGAGTGAACATGGTGACAGTCTTCCATACTGTATTCCTAAACCCACAATACAACAACATTCTCATTTGTGATCTAGCTGGGCCATTCCCTATGATGCCAATTGGCCAGTGATATTATAGCTGCTGACTGTTGCTATGCCCAATTGAGCCTGTTGTTGCCAGATTAGCCAGTGATATGATAGCTGCCCACACCAGCTATGCTGCATTGAGCCCAATGTTGCCAGATCACCTATTGCCAATTGCTGATGGATTGGCTCACTGATTGCACCCAGTGTCACACACTAAAGGTGTTTGGTGAGGTGGACATGGATACAGCTGATGAATGGAGATGAAGACCATAGCCCTCATGTGAAGAAGGACAGCCTAGAAATGTCAGCAGTCATCCCTTGCACAAGAATGAGTCATCAGTGCCAAAGAAAAAGAAAGGGAGCAAGGTTAAGTGCCAGGTTAAAATTCTTAAGCACCCATGTATGGCATTCCAGTTTTTGAACATATCTCTGCTGTTTCTGCAGATACTGAGACCATTCCCACACTCACTTGTAGTGCTCAGCCATGCGATCCTACCTTCCAAAATTGGAAAGGATTTGCACACTGCACATGTTTCTACAGCACTCCCTCCAAAAGATGCTCATTTCACTAATTCTTCTGATATGGCCACCTCCACATCAATCATTTCACTTGTTCCCCTTTGCCAGGGACCATGGCTACATATATCTACCAGGAGTTCCTACCAGCTTCTGTCCTGAAGCATCCTGGTACATCCCACCCTTGTCTACACCCTCTCAGCCCATCCAGCTTGGACAGCATGTGTTCTTTTTGTCAGTATGACCTCTAGGAGGACATTCTTTGGTTGCCTCAGGTCTGTCATTCACTTGGAAAGGTCTTATGTGGTCATTTCAGTCTCTCCAGTCCAAGAAACATATGGATCCTTCCTCCCTGCTCCCTGCAATGTCTTCATGCCAGTCTCATCTGTCATTCTTCCAAGATTGTGACAGCTACAGTATAATCTACTGTTCTCCACTCTCCCTGATCACACCCATGACAAGTATGATGCACATCTTGCCTCCTTGTTGCAAGATACAGCAGAAGACACTCCCCCTTCATCCTCTCTTCCAACAGAGCCTCATTCATGAAGTTTTTATTTGCTTCACTGAGAGGATGGTTTGGGGGGAAAGTTGTGATCCTCTATGCTCCTGTCACCCCACAGACCCCCAAAGCTCAACCCCTGTTGACATCTGACTCACCCTGTCCACTTTTGGATGTACTATATTGGCATCAGATCAGCACTGCCTCTCTGTCATCCCACCTTGGCCTAGAAGCAATCTCTTCAAGATGTGACATGCACAGCCTCCCCCTAATGTGATTCCAGTGCACTTTCCCAGTTCCTGACATTACTTGACTCATACTTTGACATTCTGACTGTCTTTGACTCACCTATTGCCAATACTTACCAATCTTTTGACTTTGCTTACTGATTCTTCACCTTTTGGCTTACTTATCCTTACCAATGCTTTCCAAGATGATTGCCCATCACTTACATTCCTTACTCATCAGTTACCAATCACTTACCAAGTGTTTGAACTGTGTTTTCCATAGGCAACACCCCTGTACTGCATATAAATCACTGTACTTAGATAGCAAAAAAAAGAAGAAGACATCAGAGAGCCCCTCTTGCTTTCATTTTATCATCACTCAGTAATTCATTCAGCAGCTTCAATAGTTGAGACTTTATTAAGGGTCTAACTATTGTCTACTTCACTTATCCTTGTCTATCATCAATATACTTCACTCCAAGCCCTCCCTGAGCTCAGTGCAGCTTAGGACATTGAATTAAGTCACCATCCATCCTTCTGTAGGCTGACAGCAGTCTACCCTATTGCTTTCTATTGCATTCTTGCTCCCTCTTTGTCAGGAGCACCCCCAACCCTCAGCACTCATCTTTGAGTGTTGTAGCTCACAAAAACCCACCCAAATCAAAGGTTCTACCATCTAGGTACCACATAGGCACACCACCACTCACTCTTTTTGTCTTTTGTGTTGGTTTTGGTCAGTTTTCACCACTGAACTACACTTTGACTCACACTGGCCTCCCAATCACCACCACCAGTATGATCTGTGCTGCCATTGTTCTGCACTTCTCTGACCATTGTCCCATTTGTTGCCACTTGGTGGTATTGGTTTCCTCAATCTCATTCCATTAGAAATGTCCACTCCCAGCCCATTGCCTGCTGACTATCTACTTTCAGATCAGCTTGCAGTGTACATGCACCACCACTTTCTCCATGAGACTCATTCTTGCACCTCTGCCCCACTACCTCATCCCCTTGAACTTGATGTCCAGACATGCATTGCAATCAATCAAATGTTGGCAACTCTGGCCCAGGCATATCATAATCCCAGTGAGCCATTTCAGTAGCAGTGTACCTACATCCCATTAACATTTACAGCAGTTCCATGTGGCATTGAGTTAATCCAGCTGTTGGAAAGCCTATCACCTTGAGAGACCAGTTTCAACATGGACCAGGAGTCCCACATCCTTTCTGTTCACCCACCATGTCTGAGTGGGTTTTTGGATACTCCCACCATTATTCTGGGTGAAGGGGATACAATTGCTTTGTGGTATCTCCCCAGTGCCATATTGCAAGCAATGCAGGTAAGAGTTGTGACAAACCCTGCTGTCCTCACTTCACAACCCTACCAAGGACCAGATGGTTGGAGCCATTCCACCACTTTCTAATATATTGACAAATAGTATATCCCATGGCTCCTGGTGCACCTCACCTGATTACTTTGCAGCTTATGATCAATTGCCAGTGGGCTGCTTAGAGCTTTCCCCAGCCCAGCATCAACTTGGTCATGCTGTGAGGTCCTTCCTTGTTCTTTACCTCCTCACAGTTATGGATATTGTTCTAGACACTAGCACACATGCCTGCTGTATCTGCTGACCTTTTGACTCCAACCACTCAGGAATGGGTGCATGTGGTCCAAACACCATTTGCAATTCTTTCCTGGCACAGTTTCAATCATGCACCCTCCTTTGTACAATGCTGGTAACCAGGCCATGTGGCATCTGACTCAGTGGTTGGCAATGAATGATCCCAAAATGTTGGCAGCCCTTCAACAATGGCCAACAGTGTACACCAATATTTCCATTATTGCAAACCAGTCAGCACCTCTCCATTGGGACCCACAATCCAATGCTGACTGGTATGATATGCTTGTTAGTGTTGGTAATTATTCTGAATGCATTCTTGACATTCCCTCCCTCAGTCTCCAACTTGACTACCATCCTGGTACTGTTGTAGCCTTTTCTGGCCAGCTTCTGCAGCATGGCATGAATGAAGTCAGTGGCAACCATTGCTCACTTGCATTCTATATGCATGACAATATCCATAACTGGCTTGGAGTCCCTAGAGGCATTGGATGCATGTTCCATTGGTGCCACAGGCTCTCTTTGCCATGTAGACCAAAAACAGCAAATTGTATTGTAATGTATTGGCTATTATATAATGCCCAGGGCCTCCTGTATTAATTGGAACACTCCCCAGTGACCCAATTCTAAGAAATACATACAATATTACTAGCCACCCTTCTGTGATTGTATCAAGTATAGGTTATGATCCTATAGTGGTGGTATC